ATACAAACCTTTGGTATCTTCTTTTTTTGTACTTCTTCACCGATCATAAGAGGGACAAACGGATGAAGTACGTTATTGCCAATTCTGCCATCAGGAAGATGATGACTAACCTGCTGGACTTTCAGGGAAAACTAGAATTTCATATAGCTTTGGATATGGGGATCGACCAACTTAGTGTCTTTGCGCCAAACGAAAAATTAGAAGGAATGAGGTATATCTCCCCCTGGACGGTCATTGTGGAGCGAGAGCTCGGGGTGGTCTTCAGAAATGAACATGGAAAGAAGGTGTTCTTTCATGAAGACCAACGTTTCAAATATTCGAATTTTACTATAAGGTTCATAAAGAACAACATCCTCAAAAGTAGAGATAAAACCCCCAGAGCAAAAAGAGAGCTAGCAAACTTGTTAGATCAATCGACAATGTACTTGAATTAGGTGAACTTCTTAGGAGGTTCATGATTCAACATCTCTAGGCCTCTCATTTTGTAAATACCATTTTTCTACTTCTCTGATCTATGTAATTTCCATTTCTATGAACCTGTAATTGCTTAGATAGTCAATGTACATTCGGAGGACCATATTGGCCTCTTGCTTCTTTTAGACTAGTTTGTTCATTCAAGTAAGAGCCTTACTTATTTACACTTAGGGGGAGATTGTTAGAACCATATTTGTAAAAGTGTAAGTAAGAAGCCTTTTACTCTAGTCAAATAAGACTTAGTCTTAGAAGCTGTCTGGACCAAGAGCTTGGATGCAGAGGTCACCAAGAGATAGAGCCTTTTTTCATACAGAGCAAGAGCCTCGCATGCAGAGCCCGTGCTCATATAGAGGAAGATCAAGTCTTAAGCGGAAAAAATCTTAAAGACTTGATGCATAGCGGACACTCCAGACACAGAGCCTCTACATTATACATGTAGAGCCTTAGGGTCATCTTTGCCCTTAGTTTGCGCACAAGCGATTCCAGTCTTATCTCCAAGTCTCCATTCAGAATCTGCCACGTACACCAAAGCGGTTCCACATTTCAAGGAACGTGAAGACAGAAGACTCTGAACAATAAGTCAGAGTTTGAAGCCTAGTTATTAGAAGATTATGTTTGTACCTGGACGTATAAAAGGAGGTGTCCTCCTTGGGTTCGATTGACCCTGAAATTGCCAAATTTCTTATACGCTCAGATTATAAAGAATTCTTGTGAGAACCAAATGTTAGTTGAGAGTTTATTTGTATTCTCTGCTTCTAATAAAAGAAACCGATGTATTCAATCTAGTTTTCATTCATATATGTTTTTGCTTAAATCTGTTAACCACTTCCAGTTACATAATAGTCGCTTCGATTCCTACTTTGTTTATATTGTGTTTCTTGATACTTAAGAGGATACTGGGTTCCTAAAATGTAAGTATGTAAGAAGGGATCAATTCAATGGTATCCTTAGGATTTAAACCTTAAATCCTGGGACCACTTCAACTTACTTACACACATCATCTATCATCCTTGCTCTCTCACTGAGCGTGAATATAGCTATGCGCTAAACCCTGTTTCATGACTTACTAGAAGAGGAACCACTACTCTTCGTTTGAGGCGGCATCACCTCTAAGTCATATAGGCAAAGTTTTATAACATCTTCGTTGTTAAGATGCCTCTAAACTTTGTTAAGAGATTGACTCATCCTTATTCTCGACAACATCATACTATCTTTCACCACACATGGATCTATTGGTTGATAGTAGCTTCTTTCAGTTAAATGACTTGTTGTTACCCTTTAAACTTGGTAGATAGGAGCACTATATCCAATTTGCTTTTCTATCACTAATTGATTCTACGTGGTTTCAGACCCATGTGTCTGGTACTTGACCCTACTAAGTCTCTCATCAGAGGCTTGGTTAGTGGATTTGCCAAGTTCCCACAATACTTGAAAAACACAATATTAATGTTACTATCATCAATTAGTTGTCTCATGTAATTGTGTCGAAGACCTATATGTCGTGACTTCCCATTATATATGGCATTGTACACTTTTGACAGTGTGGCCCACTGTCATAATACATGGGAATCCAAGGAGTCGGTTGAGGCCACATGGATATTAGTCAACAAATCTCTAATCCATTCAGCCTATTTTCTTGATGCCGTTAGGGCAATGAATTCGTCTTCCATAGTCGAATGGCGATATATGTTTGTTTCTTGCTCGCCTAAGAAATTGCCCCTCCAGCAAGAGTATAATTTCATCCCCTTGTGTGATCTATCCAACTGGCATCGGAATATCCCTCCAAGATTCTTGGATGTGTAGAGTATGTCAACTCTAGATCCTTGGTTCTTTTCAAGTACCCCACTACTCTGCTAATTACTTTTCACTGATCTTGTTGGTCCCAACCAGATCTACAAGAGTTTAGGGGTGATCAGTTTGTAGAAGAGGGGGATGAATACAAACACAATAACTTCCATTTTTAAAAATATATATTGGTAGAGAAGAATCAATATATATTTTTACAGATTGTTTACGGAATAGAAAAGGTAAAGGAAACCTATCTAAAACAATCTAGAGATACACATAGATACACTTAACAAATATAAGAGACTTGCCGAAAGAAATAAGACAGAGATGTGTTCTTCTTGGGTATGTGTCTTAGAATTTAAAGATAAATTCTAACTTGCTTGTATGACAGCATTTTTGTGTGTGTATGCATGAGTGAAGAGAGCACTCACCTATTTATACCCATTGCATTTAATGCAATTCAGAAGAGGCAGAACACGTGTCAAGCTTTTAAAGGAAAGCTTGTCTTTTGCTATGGTGTATAGTATTATTGTCTATTCATAAGCATATATCCTTTCATGGAGTTGGTGGGCACTAAAGTTGACTAATCGGCTCCGTGCAGTACGATACTCTTGAGAGGGTATGGATTTGTCCTTTGTGTGTAGAAGGACAAGACAAAAACAATCGTGCATGGCAAGCTTCATTTGATCGCTGAATGCTGGAATAACGCTAGAGGTCTCTTCAGCATTCACTGAGGCTTTGTGCATTCTTCACACATATATTGACCAGGTTGTAATCATTAAATACCGCTTTAGATCACGAACACACTAGTCACTAATCTTCAGTTTCAGTCTTCGACATTCGCTGAAGGTTCTTGGGTGTGAGTTTTGTCTTCATAAAGTACAGCTGTTGCTGTAAGATTAGAATACATGTTTCAGCGATCATTGAACATACTCAATGATGCTCGCTGGAACTGAATGGACAGATACATAATACTTCGATGGATAAAAGGGATTATCATCAAATCAATGAGAGAGAGGATCAACAATCTCCTCCTATTTGATGATGACAAAGCAACATAAAGAAAATTGCTTTAAGGTATAATAGTAAGAAAAAGTTACACGTAAAGTACATGTCCCTTTTAACTATTTTGGGATCTTTTTCAGTGATACAGTTTTTACTATATAAGTTTTCTTGAGTTACAAGTTTAAGTAAAACTACAAGAAGGGAAACTGAAACTGAAACTGAAAGCATGTTCACTAACTGAAGATTTCCAGTGAATGTAAGAGCTTACTTGAACTCATAGACATGTGTCTTTATTACTTTTTTCGGGGATCTATTTCAGTGAAACTGATGAAATACTTATATTGTTGAAAAGGAGGAATATAAGTGTTACAACAGTACATTCTAGACTTATTACATATAAGTTGTACACTGAAGGAAAAGACATAGAAATAAAAGATTTTCAATGAAAGATAGGATTTACAAGATAGAAAATTATAACTAATCTAAGTTGCTAAAGTTGATGTAACCAGGTATTTCTTCTCCAAGAATCTTTCGATGTAGAAATTCTTTTCTGATCTTGCGGTCTATCATCTCACCATAAAGGTCATTGTCCAACCAATATCTTAGATAATCAAGATGTTCTATAAGACAGAGACAAAGCTCAGACACTCTTTGAAAGATGTGTTCGCCATCATAGTCAATGAATATGAATCCAAACTCAGGTTTTAGATGCACAAAGTTGGGTGTGTAAGGACCCTTCGTTGGCAAAGATAGGTTCAACATAGAGATGTCTGGATTTTTCGAATCCTTTAGGACTTCCTCCAGGGAAAACTTTATTTCATATTCGTTCCTCAGAGTTGGTCCATTATTAGGATCTGAAGGATTTCTTCTTCCACCTTTCTTCCACATCGGCTTTGTAGGTACAACAACAAATTTGGACATCTTCTTGATCAGTTTGCTGAGGATGTATACAATTATTGGTTTATGTCTTGACTTTGAGTGCTGAATGGCCTGGCAGATTTCCAGCCATTCGTCATAGCCGTATCATCCAAGGTAGGCAGGGTACTCGATGACTAAGTCAAGGTTGTCTCTGATGATATGTATGGAGATAATCATTCCACCATCTTTCTTATGACCACTTATTGTGACGTTAGTGATGGGACAGGGACTGATTCTTTTCTTTAGGCGATCTTCACTCCATTTCTTGTCTCGGTCATTCAACTTTATTGCTTTTTGATGTTTAGATTCTGCAATTGAGAACAATTTAGCTTGGGCCTTGACAACATTCACCTTCTTTTTAGACATTTTCTTTGGAATCATTAGAGAAGCGAGAGACTTGGCCAACTTGAGGCTGTCCTTAGTCTGTTGTCGTTGAATTTGGAGTTCTTCCTCAGCCTTGAGTGCTTCGAGTCTTTCACTTTCTCTAAGGATGTCGAATCACCACAACTAGAGGTACGAAGAGGAATTTTTACTCTAGTTTGGTCGAGTGACTCCTTAAGCTAAGTCATTTGTTGGTCGCTAGGAACACTAGAATTTGGGTTTTCAGGTACCCATTCATCTAGACGACCACAGGTAGTAGAAGGAATAGTAGAAGAGAGTTGAGAGAGAAAAGTGACGACGACAAACCTGGAGGGTTCAATATATTCTTGAGGATTGACAGGTTTAAAGAGAACTTTCAAATTTCCTTCTTCAGCAACACCTTTGTCTTTGGAAGAGATATTATGGTTCTTTGCATAAGTCTCTTTTTCTTTTTCCTACTCCTTCTCCCCTTGGGATGATGAATCCCTGAGAGAGACTCCTTTCAGAGAGCTAGCTGGTTTGTTGTGGTATTGAATGGTGAGGTCGTCGTCATCGCCGTCTTCATCATCATCACCACCGATATCTTTTCCAGCATCAGGAAAGGAAGAAGGATCATCATCTTCATCGTCATCATCATTGTTTTCATCAGCATCTTCATCTTCCTTATCACCAGCATCAGCTACAGAGGTGATAGGAAGGTCTTCGTCTTGAGCATCAACTATGACGACATCATCAATTTCCCCAACTTCAGCAACAGCTTCAGCTTCATGGGAAGTGATGGCATTTGCTTCATTTGCTTCAGCTCTTTCAACTTGAGCATCAACATCAGTTGGTGTTGTAGGGACAACAACAACTAAGTCTTTCTCCCCCTCTTTGTCATCAGCAAGACGAGATAGTAGTTTCTTCACGTCATTGACTTCATCTTTGACAAGTGAGAGGTCAGAGGAAAGGTCATCCCTGAGAGGCATGTCTTTATGGACTTAGTCCATTTTGATTAAGACAGTCTCTATCGCTGGAAGATGCAGCTTGACATCATCAGCCATGTTGTATTCTTCTTCCATGGCTGGCAATTCTTCATTGAAAGGAAGTGAAAAAAAGAGGTTTGAGTATAAGATAGCTCAGGGTTAGAAGAAATAAAGGGGTAGGTTGGTAGAGTACCTGAGGGGATATCAACATCATCTGAAGGATTGATCCTGGTTCTCTCCTGGTTGCCTTCAACATGATAGGATTTCGTTCACTGAGTGTGAATACCAAATCTTCAAATCATATTAAAATCAATCAAGAACATAATATGAATTTAGAGAGAATTTTCACCAAAGACTTTTGTATTCAAACTCTTTGAATACTAGTTGTGTACCCGCGCAATGCGGCGGGAGTAGTGAATGTAAATGTTTTTGAAGCATGGTGGTTTTTAAAATAGACTTCAAAACATTATGAAGATAGGATTTACAATTAATCTTTACAATAAATTAAAAGATATGGTTCCAATTATAGCATCAATAAAAAATTGTATGATAGTGCAAATCGAATAAAACAAACTATAAACTAATTACAACATAATCTAATTGTGTTAAAGAGATAATATATTGGAGAGCATGAAACTATAAATTTTCATTAATCATAAGTTGTTTAAATAAAAACAATAACATATAAATAATGATAAACATAGAAGAAGAATTACCCACAACCTAACTCAAAACAAACCATATTGACTCTATCACAACCCATAACATGAGAGGATGCTCGACCTACATCCATGACTACATTTCGGATTCTATAATGAAGAACGTCTTCTATGCAAAATTCTGTATACTGTACATGCCATAGATATAAACTATAGAATCATAACCGACTGGTACTAACTTTCAGAACAGACCAAGGTAACACAACTGAGGTGTCAGTTGAGAAGCACTTGAATGACCAAACCATCTTTTACCAAAGGTTCCAGTTCCAAATAAAAACGTTAGAATCCTCCATGCTTAATGTGTTCCCCATTTGAGGTGACCAATACATAGAACTGGACAGTTCAAGGAAAGGAAGAAAAGTTGGACATATATTTTCCTTGGAAAAAAACTTGTGCATTTATAGGATGTTGAAAGTGGTCACTGAAACATTCAGCCATATTTAACAAGATGGTAAACCCCAAAACAAGGATGACAATTCGGGGCCATTTACCAAACGCTTACATGGGTAAGCGCTTACCAAGTAACATTACCTCACTGGATGAATATAGCAAGGACCAAGAATCTTACCCGGTAAGAGCGAGACAAGGATCAAGAGTCTTACCCGGTAAGTGAGGACGACAACTCTTACCATGGTAAGCGCTTACCGGGTAAATTATTGTATATTATGTCGTTTTGGTGAACTAAAATCTTACCCGGTAAGTACATAATAGTGTTAAACTTTACTGGTAAGCACTTACCAGGTAAGTGTTTGATAAACGACCCCTTCCTTTGAATTAAATAGCCTCCTGCTCCTGCCTCCTAAAAGGACAGAAAGAATCTCTGTAGCTGAGTAAGTTTCAAAGTAGCACAATCCACATTCGTAATATATAGAATGAGGCACAACAGAAACCATCGGCAAAAGTTTAACTTTAACAACATCTTTATCAAAGAAAAAACAAGACAATAAATATAATCACAAAAAAAGCAGGCAATGAAAAAAGAGAGACATGAAATTTCGATAAAAACATCGGTGATCAGTAATATCAACAAGTTGAGGCAAGGGCCTCGAAAAGGGCCACCATGAATTACATTTGTGTTTCTTTGTTGATTCTTGAAAAGGGAGGGACATTGTGACCTTTGGTTCAGCAAAGTGGAAAGAATGATAATATAGATAATTGCACACGAAACTCCCTGCATCATCATAGATCATTGCATCATAGCACTTTATCATCTCCAAGAACTCAAGTATTACATCAATTGAACAAGAAGTCTTCAACAACAACAACAAAAGCAAGAGAGAGGAAGTCAGTATTAGCAAGAATGATTAAACAAACAAAAAGTCTTTATGTTGTGAAACAGAAATGAGATGGATATTTATTTAACAGGCAAATGGAAATGATTGGTGAAGGAGAATTTCTTCTAATTATTTCCTCACACCAGTAGCATTGTGTTCACTTGCTTTTTTTCGTTAATTTTTACTTTCCTCTCTTTCTACATGCAAGATCCACTAATGAACACACTCTCCCTATGACATGATAAGCACATATCTCTAATTGTTTATACATGTTTTTAATGACTACAGTTTAAATGCATAATTAACTAATTTGTTATTTGCCTTACAAGGCAAACAACAATGGTCATACATACACTAAGTAGGAAATTGCTTTTGAGTTTCACACCGTTATTTATAAAAGGAGCTAAAATGTAGCAAATGTTAATCATGCATGTCTATGTCATACTTTCTTGAACTACTGCAAAACTCCATATTCATAGTTAAATGAGAAGCCAAAGAAACGCAATGTCTTTAGTAAAATTATGTGAAAATGTGAAGTCAAACAATTTAACAGAGTTGTGAACTGAAGTCAATATGAGGGGGGAAATCTATATATGAAAATATCATATGCCCTTTATTTAATTTCATCAATATATTCCAAACACGTATACAAAACTAGAGAAATGATGATCTAGCAACATACTGTTAATTTATAATCATGTAGCATAACAAAAGAAGTAAAGATGTATTTATAAATGCAACCTATCAAGGCAACATGTATATGCTATCAAGATTGCATGATACTTAATATAAATAGCTTTTCCACCACAACACAATCAATATGAACTTCAATACCTTATCCACTTAAAATTAAGGAGTTAATCAATGCATCATGCATGAATGTTGCCAATTAGTTATATTATCTTGTTTTGAATATTTAATTCTACCTTTTCAAGGTACAAGGGATATAAGCTATGTCTGGTCTTTATAATTGAAAACCTTTTGACCATAAAACCCAAGACTTAATTACCACATATCAAAAAATATAATCACATATCAAGTCAAAATCACACAAACTACCTCCGAAAGAGAACAAGTATGCCAAATTCAGGTAATGGCTAACATTGATAAATCAAGTTCATAGCCACTGCTTAAAGGCCCTTAAGCATACTGTCATATACCATTTTGTACTTCCATGCCAATAGCCAATAGAGATGGAGAGATCCAACTTGATCATTCCCATAATGTTCATTTATTCCTACATAAATCTAAATGTTGGGAGCTGATAGAATACAAAAATCTGTTTTAAACGACATTACTAACTAAATACAGTTGGAGCAAAGATTTATTAGCAAGAGGATAAAAGCTGATCTCAGACATACAACTATAGACAAGATGAAACTGATGGAGAAGTTAATTGTTAAAGAAAGATGAGACTGCATGTAACCAACCACTAATGGAATGAAAATGATAGCTCACCTCGACAGAACATGAAACGGATATTTTGCCAACCATTACATTGGATGATGATGGATCAAATAACTCAAAAACCTCAACGTCAAAATCTAAAGCATGCAACACATCACGACCATATATATATATATATATATACCAAGTAGTAATCTATTAGATATTTGATAAATTATAATTTGCATTTTCAATTGCTATTAATAAGCATTTTTGTGCTAAAAAGGAAATACAAATTACCTAGTTCTAGAACGTCGAATCCCTTTCCCCTCTTTTCCAATTTAGACAAGGAAAATCCTCCTTCTCCTCGACGATTGCAAATGTCAGTGTTCCTGCAAACTCCTATTACTAAGAGATCAATAGACAACACTGGACAGTATATCAAAATCAAAAGAAAACCAACATCCTGGCAAATACAGCAAAAATGAAATCAATAAGGAAAAATGTAGCAAAACCAACAATGACTTAAAAACAAAGTATGTCAATTCAATGAACAAAAGACCCCTCAAGAAGTAAAGAGATAAGAAAAAATGACGGTTTCATTCCCTCAGTTTAAATTTGAAATAAAAATTTGGGCTTCTAAGGGAATGACTATTTCATTCCCCCGGTATAGATTATTCAAGTCACAGTAATTGTTAGCTTTATTATTCATCTCTTGTAAAAGTATAGAAAAAGTATTATGCAAGTCTTGACAGAAGCATATCTTCTATAGAAGACAACAGAGGACTAACGATAGAAGCCTGATATTCGAGCAAGTAAAGTGTGACAGAACCTCTAATGTCTCTCACAGAGGTTCTGGAAAATGGTCCTCTGTCAATAAGAACAAGCAAGTCAATCACTGCAGAGCCTCTGAGATGGCTTACAGAGGGTCTGCGGATTTCGTCTTCTGTGAAGATCCTCTTCCAACTGTTTTTCAATGGTTATTAGTTGCATGTGCTTCTCACGAGACTAGGACTTAATCGAATTTATTTGGACGGCTTAGATGATTTCACGCGTCAAGATCTTGTCAGTAAGGTCGTTAGGAACTAGTATAAATAGCGGCTAAGGCCTTTGTAATAAGTGTGCTTCCGTATTGTAATCGTCAATTTTCAATTGAATGAATTGAAAAACCTTTGAAGCTATTCTCTTGTGTTCATCTTCTTCATCATCTTAACTGTGTGTTCTTGGTTTAWTTACTCTGTTCTGTTCTTATAATTGTTTCCGCTGCACTTTAATCATCTTAGAGTTCATTCAGAGTAACAGATCAATATCAAAGCTGAATTTACAGGTCCAACAATTGGTATCAGAGCAGGAATTGAATTCTTATTCAATTAATTCTGTTTTTGGTATTAATCTGCATTTTCTAGAACACCAGTTCTCTTCAGATTACCCTGTTTCATTCTATTAAATCAGTTTCATCTTGTTCTTATCTTTCTTCTTCTAATTTCAATGGCGAACTTGGCTAATACCTTGTTCATGAGCACTGGATCTCAATCAAAACCTCCCACGCTTATCCGTGAGGAGTATCCGCAATGGAAGGTGCGAATGATCAACTTTTTAGAGGGAATTCACCCTAGAATATGTG